TAATCGAATAATAAATAATCAAACTCATAAACAAAAATCTGTTGAACAAACTAATATACGATGAATCTTTGATGGGGTAATGGGTATTTTTCTGTCCAATTTGTCGTCTCTCATTCTTGTATTTTTTCGGCATTGATTTCGTGCTAATGACAATATTAATAAAAACAGAAGAATTGGGGGAATGGGAGGAATGGGGGGAAGGGGTTATTGGCTTATGCTTCTTGGCTTCTGGTGATATATAATATTTTGGAATTTTTCAAGCTTTCTTCTTGGAAATAATACAAGTTTTTTCCTACAAAAAAGAATATTTTGATCTGAATGAATGGATATGCTGCTCCTCTCTCTCTGTCTGTCTGTGTGTGTGTGTGTGTGTGTGTGTGTGTGAGAGAGCGCAAAGAGGGGTAGAGGTGGGAAGAGTGTAGGAATCTATGCAAATGAGTTAACAGTTATTCAGAATCAATGAAGCGTCATCGCACCGCCACCCTAACCTCCCTCTCTCCACTCTTTTCTGTCCTCTCGTTTGCTCTCTCTCTCTCTCTCTCTATTGCTATCTGCCTTGCCCATCATCACAGTTACGTTGACCTTCAGAGATCGTAGCGTACAGAATTCTGCCGTTGGGTGCGGCCGCGCAGCAGCAGCTTCAACTTTTTGGAGGCTGAAGCAGTGACAACGACAGCGGCAGAGAGCGAGGGGCACGCACAAAAGAAAGCTGGCAATGGAATTTTAGCAATGCGGCTGCCCAGTGGATACACCCCAGCCCCCTCACTAGACAAGTCTCCACTCCTTCACTCACTCTCTCTCTCTCTCTCTCTCTCTTTTGGTCAGCTTCGCGGAGAGAAAGAGAGTATGGGGGAATGGGAAGAGCTTATACACCTGATAAAACACGAGATATAAAAAGTACATTAAAAATGTTGCAAATGTACGTTAAATATGCATTACTCTATTATTTTTAAACGAAAGAAAAATGAAAAACAAAATTAAAAGCAAATTTAAATGCATTGAGACACGCGCGATACATCAGTAGAGGCAGCGGCAGAGGCAGCGGCAGCGGCAGAGGCAGAGACAGAGCGACAGACAGACGTCGCTGTTGGAGCGGAGTCCTCTCTCGTCTTCTCTTCAAGCTTTTGAAGATGAGCTCGACTTTCGCGCAGGATTAAATGATGACATTTCGAATAGATTCGTACTTTTTCTTGGGATAAATTTAAAAATACTATAGGATAGGGCTCCAACTCCATAAGGGCTCCATAAAAATGTCGTATCACCTCTACATATTGCTGCGATCTATGCGACTCATGAATGCTAGGATAACGATCCTTTACAAAAGAAAATTTGAAATTCCATAAAAAAATGTTGGCAATGAATACAGTATGAAAATATTCATAAAAAATTAAATCTGAAATTTAACCTTGAGATTTTTCACTGAAATATCCTTGAGATATGATTTTTTTCTCCCCCAAAAATGGCCAAAAAGAGCTATATATTTTTTCAAGGATTTTTGGTGTGAATATTAAGGATGATCCAGGAAAATCAGAAGCCACTTTTCCGCTCAATAAAGATGTAATATGCAGTGTTGAAAAAGGGAGAACCCAATTCTGTTGAGGCCACAGAATGCATATTATTATATTATATCAAGAGATTAAAGATATGAAATGATCCCATTAAAAGGAAGTAAAAAGAAAACAAAACTTTGCGGCTCTTATCGATTAAAATGAATTAATGGAAATGGACAAATTTTATCGCGTATTTTCCGTTTTCCCCCAAAAAGAAATCTTATTTATTTGGACATTTTTCAACCAGTTTTCAATATTTGGAGATTTCCTTTTCCTGTCTGAATTCTCTTATGGATCTTTATCCTTCCCGTTTTCCACATTTGGGTATATTTTTCTTTCCCCTCTCGTATTCCCATTTTCCTGCCCGTTTAACCATTTTTGTATCTTTTTTCCCCGTCTTTTCCGCAAAATTGCTGTACATTGATGGCATTTTTTACAGTTAGGTTTTGGTCAAAACGAGATGCACCATCCGATCCGCCACAAGGCGCGCGCGCGCGGGACCTGTTGCTGCCTGCCACCGCCAGTGTCAACCATCTCTGCGGCTTTGGAGGGAAAGGGGGAAGCAGGCATGTAGGAGGATGGATAACTGCCACCTGGGGGGACCTGCTCCCTCGCTGTCGCTCGTTGTGTTGGTCAGAGATTTGTGGCTTGCGTTTTAGAAAGTATGTCAATTTAGAAAAGTCGTCGACTGTCCACCACACACACACACACACACACACACGCAAAGAGAGGGAGAGAGAGACGCCGCCTTTTGCATACTGGGCGCAAGTGTGAGCAGATTTAAGTTTTGAATTTGAATTTTAGAATAAAAATACGAACCGCAGTTTCTGTTTTCTTCAATCCACATGTGCAGAATACACCTACACACACTCACAGAAAAATAAGGACACCGGCACACACAGACACAGTCACTGTGAAAAAAAAAACGTTAAGATCTTTTTTTTTCAATTTTTTTTTTAGCTTAAGACTTTAGGAGAGAGAAAGAGTTGTTCGTTCGTTTGTTCGATCGATCGGTTCGTACGGTTTAACACTCACACACACGCATATACGCAAAAAAGCACTCGGGAGGGGTGTGGGGGAGGAGAGTGAGAGAACAAAAAAAACTTCGCGTCTGCTTGAAACGAGCGCGCCGTCGCGACTGTCTCAACTTTGGGGCGTTTGGGGGCTGTCTGCCTGCGCCAGTCGCTGCGCCGTTGGTCTGCGGCTGCAGCTTTTGGCGACGCTGCTGCCCGCGCGAGAGAGCGCGCTGCTGAGGATGGTAGGGAGAGAGTAAACGGCATAGCTTGGAGAGTGAGTGGAGTAAACGGCATGGCTGGGAGAGTGAGTGAACTTCAAATTGAAATGGAAGAGTGGACGGGAAATGCTGAGCGTGGAGTGGAGTAGCGTGTAGAGTAGATTGGCGAGTGAGTGCCGATTACAGAGAGCGGAGCATAGTGGTGGGTAGAATATGGGCGGGGGGTGCTTTGTGTTTGCGCGCTTTTTGTCGCTACCCTCTCTTCCGCTCCAGAGGCGGCGGGACAGCGGACGCGTAAGCATGTAACACGAAACTCTCTATGGGATACCCTGGAAAATCCATCAGTTAAATTTTGCAGAATTTTGCATGCAAATCCCATAATACTCTCTGAAAGGGTATAAAAGGCCAACTAAAGCTCCAAGAAGAGAGTCCGAAGCGCGAGCGAGTGAGTGGACTGCGGCGAGAGGCAGTGCAAGAGCGTAAGAGTGGAGTGTACTGGAGAGTATCAAAGACGGGCGCTGTTGTTGCTACTGTTGTCGGGGGCTTAAAGATAGGGCAGGAAATAAGATCTCACGCAAACACACACACACACACGCGCATATCTATGTTCTTGTTTGCCCGCTTACGTGAGTGTGTGTGTGTATGTCTCAATGGGCGCCTGATACCCTGTAAAAATAAAAAAACAATAAAACGAGTGGTGGGCATATTCATTATCGGTTGTTGCATTGGGTCAGTAATCGGTTCGTGGTGTTATCTACATATCTGTATGGAATCGTGTCATTGAATCAATCATCATTCTGCGATAAGATAATGCGTGTGTTATGCAATTCCGACAAAGTTTCATTCAACGTTTACGCGTGACTGGCAAATGGGGACAATCATTGCAGCGATAGAAGGGAGAGGCTTATTATAGGGTATCCTACTATCGATATGGAGTGGAATGTCGCCGATTGTGAAGCCTTGGACCGTACATTCCTACAATGCGATATGGGCCGACTATCTCTAAGGAACAACAACAACAACGACAACGGACGCACGCTCTCGAGGGCTTAGCCAAGTGCTGTTGTTCTGAGTCATTTCTCCCACTCCATTACTCTTCCCGCATTCTCCTCGCCAGGCCCCTGATGTCACCATCACCCCTTTGCAAAATCCTGCCCACGGCTCTGTGTGCTTCTGCAAAAGCTTCTCCAGATAGCAGCCACAGCAGCAGAGAGAGCTCACAAAACCAAAATTAGAACATTACGTATTCTCCCCCGACAGAAACGCGAAATATGCTGCTCTGCTTGAAAGAAATACAATAAAAAATAGTTTATCAATTTGAAAATTGATAAAACAAAAAAAAACAACAATTGTTTGCTGTTATCTTTTTGGAGTGTGAAGCAAAAAATAAACCCAAGAGAACACAAAAATGAATTATTATATAAATAAATGAAGTTCCGGATGGGTAATCAAGGCTAGAAGGAGCGCACAAGACGTCAGTCGCCTGGACCTAACGAAAACTCATCCAAATCCATCCTCTTGACTCAAAACTCCTTCCCAAAGCCACTCTGGAAATTTTCACATCTTTTAAATCTAGATTCCATTTTCAAAACACTATAATCTTAAGCACCAAATGATTTGGTGATATATTTTCCCGATTTTCTAGTAATTTAATCAAGAAAGTATTTCTCTTCACGAATATTATTATTTTCCAAGTTTTCTAATAATTTTTCGATGCGTTTTTATATGATCTTTCGCTAGAATGGTCGAAATCAACGAAGGATGGCCGCCTCTAGGGTTAAGCTCACTCGCTCTCTCTTTCTCTCTCTCTCTTTCACTTTCCAGAAGACTGTCGCAGCAGCAGCATAAAAGTAAAAGCCCATCCATGGCCAAGTGTTGTGCAAGTGCAAAAGAGAGAAAAAATAAGATACGATGGTTGAGAGAGCGACAGAAAGAGAGAGAGTGATGGATCGTCTGGGGGGCGGCTGGAGGTCGAACGGCTGCCCCTGCGGTTTGACCCACTAAATGAGCAGCAGCAGCCCCCCGAATACCCATTCTTCTTCCCCCCGGATAGCCGAATGCAGTTTTGTGAGTCACGAAGCTGATTAATTTCTCACGCGTCGCCGCTAACGCTGGCGCTGACGACGCCGCCGCTTCGCTGCTGTTGCTGGAAGTGGGTGAAGGGCGGCAGCGGCAGAGGCCAGGCTGCAAAGCAACAACGACAAAAAGTTACTTACGTGGGAAATTCGGAAACAAATAGCCGCAAAAAGTGCACAATAAAAAAATAGGATTTTTTGTTCAGGTGCCGGGCGTCAGGGGCTGCTCTCTTGCTCTCTCCCAGCTGATGCACGCGGTGCGGGCGCTACTGCTCTCACGACCGAAAAATAACCGTTTTTGTGGATTCTTCTTTACGCTGCTCTCCCACTCTCACACTCACGACGATGTTTGCGGCGTTGGCGGCTCTCTCTATCTCTCTCTTGTTCTCTCAGCGGCTGCTGCGAACTGCACGTAGCAAAAGTTGGATGCGAAATGAGTGGAGTCGAAGCTGTGGCTTGCGTCCGAATGCAACGATGGATATGCCCAAAGCACGAGAGAGAGAGAGAGAGAGAGAGTGATGAGGATGATCGGCAAACAAACAAACAATAAGCAGACAGAGAGAGAACGTAGCAGCAGCATCAGCAGCCCAAAAAGCAAGTCACGCGGCTTGAAAGATATGGTTGCGGGGAGGGGGGAGAGAGAGAGAAAAAGAGAGACAGATCCAGAGAGCGTAACAAGTGTTTTTTGGAGGAGGGCGGGATGCTTTATATCAGGTGGCAACGCCGGCCGCTTGGAAATTTGAAAGCATCACCGCATTTTAACGTTTTTTTCTTTCTCATTACGTAACGTTTGAGTTACTCTCTTTTTTTGTGTCTCCCCCCTCCCCTTTACACGCGCCGCTGCCTCCTGCCACTGCCCGCCCGCTTAACTAGTCAAGCATGAAACGAACAACAACAAAAAAAAAACACCAACTCGTTTTTTTTTTGTTAATTAACATAAAAACGGTACAATAAAACGACGCCGCACACTTGTTGCACACTCAAAAAGTAACCAAGGAAAGACAGAGAGCAGATCATCGGGATACCAAAATTTTTCAATGATATTTTAGTATAAATCGGTCTTAAGGATAGGATATCTTATTAATATTATCAATTCCATAGCGATGTATTATTGTCCGATGTCCAATAATATTTCAATATAAGGATCCTTGGAATATTTTTGTTCTAGAAAAATTGCATTATTTTTGGCAAAAGATCTTGTCTGTCAGCTCTTTAAAATCGCATTCACTTTCCAGTGCGCGCATCGACCTCCTGTGCCGACTTTCCTTGAACAAAGATTTAAAGTTCACGAAAGAAAAAACAACAACAAAACCAACAAAAGTGCAAGTCCAATGCAAAAACATTTGCGTAAAGATATACAGCTGTGCTTTTTTTCTCGGTTTAAATAAATAAACAGAGAACACGAGTACCATGAGAAAACGATTGGCGGCAACGGCAGACGATGACGTCAGTGCCATGACGAGCGCGAGGGCGCATTTTGGTTCGATTCGGCTTTTGGCTGTGCAAATTTTGTGTATTCAATGCCGGAATCCGCCAACACACAACACACGGTGGCACAACAACAGACAGACAATCGCGGCGCTCGTATGTGGGCGCGCTCAGTGATGGGACACCATACACGATGACAGCGGGGGAAAAAAGTGCATCAACGGATGTGGTATTGCTCGGAATAAAGCTTTTAATTTTCAAATAGGTTTTGAATCTGTCACCAATCGGTTTCGGGTTCTGAATAAATTTATTTATCGGTTCTGAAGCTGTTTCGTTTGGGGTCTAACTGATTATCCATAATTCAAATATTTTCTCCAATGATCGTGTCACGCGCCTCTCACGCTCCCATCGCTCGACGCAACGGCGGCGTCAGCGTTGAGGTGCTGCTGCCTGACTACCTGGCTGCCTGCCTTTTTTCTGCTGCTTCTGCCTTTGCTCTTCTTCCGTTCCACGCTCCCTCCCCAACATAAGGGACAAGGGGAGCAGCCACTAAGCAGCTACGCAAATTTCACAAAAAATGGCAACACTGGCAGCTAAACAGGTTTCCAATTTTTCTTCTTTTTTTTTTTTGGGGAGTCGCATCAAAAATATGCAAAAGCCAATAACAAAAGTCTTAGAGAAATGTGTTAATTGAGAAAGGGGGTGAAGGTGAGTGGGGAAAAGGGGGCAAGCAGTAGAATTTCCAGCCATAAATCAAATAATGAATGAACCGAAAGAGGGCAAGAGAGATATGGGGAGAGAGAGAGAGCGGCGAAGAGAGAAGTGTAAACAAAAGCAGAGGACAGCAGCATCCGCTCTGGCAATGCCATCACCAGCTTCAGCAGAGCGGAGAGAGACAGAGAAGAAGAGCAGAAAAGAACAGAACAGAGACCGATCTTAGCCCAGTTATACCAGCTGTGTAAGGACTACGGTACTAAAGGGTGTATCGGTGTATCGGACCATGTGACATTTCAAGAAAAGCATCAGAAAATCATACCCCGAAGAAAGCAATTGATTTAAAAGTTCAGTTCATTTCCTTCAGGGTATGCCACAGGTCGATCATCACATTCCAGGCCATGACGAGACCTGATCAATAACTTGTTTCTGGCTTATTGAACAGCATTTATTAGAGACAAAAAAAAAAAAGAAGTGGAATATGAAAAGGAGATGGTGGTGAGGAGAGGAGAGAAGGAGGGGCAACAACTTTGTCGCCGCTGCTTTCACAAGAGTGCCACACAAAACCGTTACAAATTGGCTTGGGAATGTGACAGAGGCAGAGCCCAAACAAAAAGCCCAAGAGATCATCAGCCAGAGAGCTGCAAAATAACAGATCTTCGTCGAACCCGTTTAATGATCAATGGAGTTCTAACTGGAAGGGAAGGCAAAGTCCATGGAAACATGGAAGGGAACAAATATGATAGTAAGTCCCAACGGCCGACAGTGATGCCTGATCTGATTTGCAATTGCAGCTCCAACTGGAGTGGAATCAATGGATGGATATACAGTAATTTAATCCTCGCTCATGCTCCTATTTCTGGATTTGATACGCCGCGCCGGAGGACTGAATGTGCAGAGGTTCCAACTGGAAGGGACTTCATGCTAATGGGATAAATGCCGATGGAATGGAAATGGTGCTTGCTAGTGTCCACACCACAGCACCCATTGCCTCCAGTCGGATAAAGACGGAAGTGAGCGACTCGCGAGACACAAAGAAAAGAAGACAGTAACACAATACCTTTGCTTTGCCCTGAGTGTGTGCACGAGTGTGTGAAAGGAAAAACTTTGGCTGGAAAAACGGTGGTTGGAAGTGCTGTAAGTAATTTTCACACGCTTTGGAGGGCTCTATGCGCGAGGGACACAAGCACAGACACAAACACAGACACACACAAACGTTTGTGTGATTTATGAGCAGCTGCAGTCGAAAATTATCACGTTGTCTCGCTCTGTAGTCCAGCGGCCTTAACTGATATTTTAATGCATCGCTGTGTGTGTGTGTGTGTGTGAGTGTGCGTGCAAAGAAAGAACCGCAAGAAAGAGCAATCTTTTATTGTTGCTCCCTTAAACAATTGTTAATCGGTTTTTGAAGCAACAAATGGCTGACGCCCGCCAATACCGCCGCTCTCTGCAGGCCGGTTAATGACTCACACTCAGAAGTCTCGCTCGCACTCACACTTCACAATCTCCAGTTAAAGTCTCACACACATACTCGCCTCTCCAGTCAAAGTCTCACTCACACTCAAACACTGGCCTATACCGGTATTTCAGCATTACGCTACACACTCACACACACTCGCGCTTCGCTTCTTCCAGTTATTTTTTTTATGGCTGCATGATCGTTTGCATAGAAAATTAATTGTTAGAAATTGGCAAATAGAACAACTAATTAACGCACCCCGCACCCACCCACCACACACATGCACCTGATGATAAACAAAAGAAAGAGAGAGATGTATGTAAATAATAACCAACTCACTTCCACACACAAACGCACGTATGCACACGAGAAGGCCAAAGAGTCGACGGGTCTTGCCTTTTGTTGCTATTGCTGCTGCCGGCTCTATGTATGAATCGTCACAAATATATTTCGAGATATATAGTAATTTGATTGTTGTTGGCGGCACACAGAAAAAAAAATTACTTCGTTGTCGTCGCTGAGCAACACGAAACACGAATAAAAAATACGAAAAACTACAGCGCCTGGTTTTGCCGGGTGGCCATTGTGTGTGTTCGTGTGTGCATGAGTGAGAGTGGCTATGTGTGCGTGTGGCGGCGGGTTGCTTGTTGCGCTTTTTTTCTACAATGCGTCGGAATTTTTCAACTTACAATTTCTTCGTTGGGGAAACTCTTGGTGCACGTAAACGGATGCTGCACATTAAGTTTTTCGGCTTCTTGATTTTCCCAGTTGGGCGGACAAATCAAATGAAATCAAAAAACGCAAAAAAAAGGAGCGAAACGAACGAAACAAAAACTGTTGGCGCACGGGGGGAAGGGCGATACCGATGACAAAAACGAACTTAGCCCACTTAAGCCCCCCCTATTTAATCAGTTCAACGACTTGAAGTAAATGGCGTAAAATATTACTGATTGTAAATTCTACTTGTAGATCCATGCCATCTTTCCTCTGAACTTGAGAAAAAACCACGATTGAATGCTCATTAATTTCGGTGATGTATCAAAATACCCCTTGGTCTGCAATGGGTTAACTGTTCTCCTTCAAGGATAGGAAACCATGTACCTTGATTTTTGAAAATTGTTGCTCGCAACAAACTGCCCAAACAAATTGGATGTACTCGATTCAAAGAGAGCGAAAGAGAGCAGTTCAGCCATCGATACTATCGACTGATGCGCGCCAAATCGATAGACATATTTATTATAGGCTCGCGCCAGCACTGCCAGATGCAGAAAACGAATTGTATTTTGCCTTGCCAAATTCAAATTTGACCCACAATCCATAAAGCGAAATCCTAATTTTAGATTTGGATTAAAACAAAAGAAAACAAAAATTTATTTCGATGGGAGGTGAATGATTTTCGATTAAGAAACAAACAAAACCGCGCACAGCATTCAATGCCGGGCCCCGGTCATTTCTTTTTTGTACATTTTGTCGACGGACAGTCACGGCTATAAATAATAATGAATCAGATCCTAATTGTTTTCCAGGGCAGCGGCGGCGGCGGCCGCAGCCCGTTCGAGCTCCTGCATCTGCTCCCGCTCACGCACCAGCCGCTCCCTGCTGTCCTGCGGATTGAGCAGCACCTTCACCAGATGCTCCACCGTCGGCCGCTCCGCGGTACAGTAGACCTTCTGGCCCTGCGACTCCAGGGCACGCCGTGTACTCGGCCCGATGGCCACCAGCTTCCACGGTTCCAGCGAAATGTTGTGCGCCCGGAAGTACTCCATGGCACAGGCGACGCCCGAGGGCGAGAAGAAGGCCAGAAATTCGACGCTGTCGCCGGCCTCCTTCAGTGCCCGTTCCACGCACTCACCCAGCTGGGGGCTACACTTCGTTTCGTAGACCTCGCAGGCGTCCACACAGAAGCCGTTCTCGGCAAGCTTCGAGAGCAGGGTGTCGGTGGCCAGATTGCCGCACGGCAGCAGCAGCGGCAGATCGCGCGACCCATCGAACGTGTCCACAATGTACTCGCCCAGGTTGCGGGCATTCCCCGTCTGCTTGCCGTGCGTGAAGAGCTGCTGCAGCGTGCTGAGGGCCAGGTTGTGGGTCACCTCGCCGACGGCATAGTTATGCAACAGCTTCCAACCACCTGGCAGTTCGCCCAGCAGCAGCGCCTCGTTGACGGCCTCCACGCACCGTGGACTGGTGAAGATGATGCCCGCGTATTTGTCCGGCGTCTGTAGCTTGTTGCCCAGCTCCTGCAGGTTCTTGAAGCCGAAGCACAGCGTCGGCACGAACACCGGATTGAAGTTGTGCCCCAACAGCGTCTCCGCGTACACATCGGTGCTATCCGATTCCGATTTGAAAATAATCACCGTCCGCTGGCGGCTCGTCATGCTGCCTGTTTGTGTTTCTGTTTGGGGCTGTCGATATGGGATTCGTCGTTCGATCAGATTTATTGGACGATGGGCGCGCTCGCTCGACGCCGGCCTCGTCGAAATAAATTGTCGCTGCCGAGTGTTACTGCCGTGCCGCTCCCTCTACTCGGTGTGCTGGGCCTGTTTAATTTATTTTTTTCGGCTATTGGCTGGCTGTCTGCTGGCGGCAGTGACCGAAAATATTTGCATTTACTTTTAGCCTGCCGCCGCCTGCTGCTAAAATTGCACTTGCACTTTTGTCACCTCTCCCTATCCCGCTTACACTCATTCTTATCACAGCGGTGAGGGGGATGCCAACTCAGCTGGTTTTGATTGTCTGCGCGGCGTTGCCAGGCCTGTAATTCAACTATTAATTCAAATGTGTTATATTTTCAATATATTTCCTTAAATGCTTAATTAATGATTTCAAATTCACAACTTATTGAATGACTGACTTATTGCAGCCAATCTCCATGGCCCATTTTGCAGCGCAATATCGATACTACGATAACCAAAACAAATAGGAGTCTAGTGGTGGCAAAAAGCTCGAGTACTCCGATTATGGTCAAGCTTACATTCAAATACGTCATCACATCAGACCAGGCCATACCGTCATTCCGCCTATGCCTCATTCTGAGAGAGAGACTGTTGGAGATTGTATATCAGGAGAGAAACTGAGAATGCTGTTGAAAAAGATAACCGAAATTCAAGAGAGTTTCAAACAACGGCTACCGGCTGTATCGGGAGTCCAGGAGCTAATGGAACCTCTGGAAGCCCACGAGGAAGATGAGATACATAATATCTAGTTAGCTGCTTAAAAACCAGTTCCATCCGTATACAACTTATATTTTGGATTTACATACATAGATCTATTATATGGTGTATAGGAAAAAATTTGCATTTCGGTGTAAATATATTTATTTGCCAAGGACGCTGCCCTGTGGTGCTATAGTTAAGGGATAGCACAATGGAGTGAGTCCATTATCGGCCATAATCAACCGATATTTCTTTTCACGTTACCGTTACAAAAGGAACATCTCCCAGAAGTTGCAAGGTGTGCGACCTGGAGAGGGTACTAAATCGAACGGGTTAAAAGGACGAATTCTTTCACTAAATAACAAAAAAAAAAATGAACAAACGAGCGAGTAAATTGAACGGCTTTCAGCCAACAATATTTATTGTCGTTGCATAGATAAACTGGGGGATACATACATATATGTACCACCCAGCCAGTTGCTGCGGTACTCATGTCATGGCTACCCACTGGTAGGCAGGCCTAGTGACATATGGACATACCAAAGAAATTCGACCGACTAACATAATTTTCGAAATATAATACGGCTAAAGCAGATAACTTTTTACCTGATTTGCCAAATAGCTCGATGGTTTTCAGACATAATAGACTCTGACTTAAAAAACTTCAAACATACAGCACTGATTTTAGATGAAAGTATCATTCTATTGAGAAAACAAACGGAAAAATTAGTTTTTGAAGAAAATTTTAAAGCCCGAATCGAACGAATGTACGCCCGGAATATACAGAAAATGGAGTGGCCTACAACTGGGACTTTGTGGCTGCTGCTGGTTGTCGCAATTGCCGCCGAAAGCGTCGCTGCTATTAGCTCGGAGGACGACTCCTCATCTAATGTCGAGAAGATTTTTCAGGGCCCAGACCCCACCTCGCAGGAGGAGATCAGGAAGCGCTTGGGCCTGCTTGTCGATCTCATGGATGGGGACAGCAATGGGATGGTGACGTTGGCAGAGCTGAAGGATTGGATCGCCCAAGCATCGCGACGGTACATCGAGAATGATGTGGCACGCCTCTGGAAGCGTCTGAATCCGGAGAACAATGGCAACGTCACCTGGAACGTGTACCAAAGTACCATCTACGGTTATGGTAAGTGGCTCTCAGTGGCGAAGAGGAGGTTCACATAGCATTTAAGGGGTCTTTCGCTTTCAGACTTGACTGGCTACAGGAGCCTGATAAACCGCGATCGCCGCCGCTGGAAAGTGGCCGATAGGGATCGCGACGATAGCCTATCCCACGAGGAGTTCTCGGCCTTCCTCCACTCCGAGGACCATACCGTCATGCGTGATGTTGTCCTCAAGGAGATGTTCGATGACCTGGACCTAGACCACGATGGCAGAATCTCCCTGGCCGAGTATGTGCTCGACATGTACCAGTCGGAATCACCCGATGAGGAGACACCCGAGTGGGTGGGCGAAGAGCGTGATGTGTTCGGCAAGTTCCTCGATCTGGATGGCGATGGGTTTCTCAGCGAGGCGGAGGCGCGCCAGTGGATAGCCCCCCATGGCCCGGGCCAGACCGATGGCCAGGCCCTGCGTCTGTTCTTGGCGGCCGATGCGGACGGGGATGAGCAGCTGACCAAGGCGGAAATCCTGGACAAGTACAACAACTTTTTGAGCTCCGCGGCCACCGAGTATGGCGGCTCCTTGATGCGGCATGACGAGTTGTAGACAGACAACAGTCTCCCCCCAAGCCCCCCAAGCCCCCCGACCACACCCACACACTAAAGAAATTATAGAATGTTTTTGGTTGTAAAATTTGTTAGTTGTTCTAAAGATATATATCCAGTGAAATGCAGTAAATGAACACAAGTCCTATCCATAAACTTAAAGCTAAATGAAACCATATGTATCCGGTTTATCATCATCATAATAATAATCAAAAAGCGTCTAATAGATCAATAAATATGTTTAAACTGTAAGCGTATATCCTTCTGGCAGTGAGAGGAAAAAAAAATAGTAAAAACAGTGCTTTCGTAATCACCATCTGTTCATCTGTTCATCTGTCCATCAGTGAAGCTGTGCCCTGCCCTTGCCCTCCACCCAATTTCGCAGCAGGTCCCCGGGCTGCAGGGTGACGCCCTCGCGGCGAGTACGTTGTCCAGGATAATCCCAGGCGGAGGGTCCGGCAAACGAGAGTCCTGGCGATGGGGCACCTGAGGGTGCATAAAACTGCAAAGGATTGGCTGCCGTAGGAGTGGGATTCCATTGGGATTCCGGTCGTGTCTGCGACTCAAAGCCCGAGGACTGCGAGGAGGTGCGTGAGAGCTGCTGCTGCTGCTGCAGCTGTTCCTTCTGCTGCGACTCTTTGGGGCACTGGTCGTAGGCATTTGGATTGATGCTGTGCGTGACCACCCAGGCGCCGACATCCCGTTCGGTCTGTGGCACAGGCAGCCGCGAGGGCATCAGCAGATTCTGCGTTGATCGGCCGTTCATCTGATGCATCGTCTGTCCGTTCAGATTGGCGAGCCTGTACCAGTCCGTAGCAGTGGATTGCAGCGGCTCGTTCCATGTGGGAGCGGCAGGGGATGTAGGATCAGGAGCAGGCCGCCAGGTGGGAGTCGAGTAAACAGTCGAAGGGCCCTGCCGGCTGGACAGATGCAGCGATTCCATGGACAGACCGGTGGGCGATTTTCCGTGACGTTTGGCCAATCCACGCCGTCGAAGGCTGGTGATGCCACTGTTGGGGGAAATGCGCGACAGCGACAGGTTCCTGACGCTTCCATTATCTAGGAAGGTCTGCTGTTGGAGGCTGGTGATGCCACTCGAGGGGGAGCCAATGCTCCTGGCGCTGCAGGTGCTCAGCTGCTCGGTGATCATGCCAAAGGTTTCCTCATCGGTGATGCACTCGTCTGTGCACAGCCGATGGAAGCTCTCGCTGGCCGACTCCTCTTGGCTCTTCTGGCTCAACAGATTAGCGCGATTTGTGGCCAGCAGAATGAGGGTCATCACACTGCCCAGCAGCTAAAAGGAGAGAGCAAACACAATAAAAGATCAGACACCTTACCTCCTTTTCTGCGTCGTTTACTCACGATGAAGCTGATGCCATCGATGTAGGGCTGCAGCAGGGCTGTGCCCATGGCAAAGACACTCCACATCAGCAGGATGAGGGTGAAGCGGGTCAGGCGTAGGCCATTGCTCACTTTGTGGAAGAAGCTCAACGCGAGCATGGCATACGGATAGAGGCCGATGAAGCAGGAACTGAAGGTGGCCTGCTGCAGCTGCTGCTGGCTGAGCCCGCCCGAGTACAGCAGCAGCTTGCCAAAGGTCCGGGCATACAGCAGCAGTTTCGTCCGAGCGACGACTGCCCGCTGTTCCAGCATGTCGCCCAGAGCGGCGGACGTCACACGAAGCAGGGCCACCACATGGGAGTACAGGTAGAACAGCGTCGTGCCCAGATGTTCGCCCAGAAAGGCGTGAAACTGTTCGCGTGTGGCAGGCGGTAGACTGCAGAGCAGGCACAAAATATTACCCGCAGTGAGGATGGCCATCCACAGCTGATAGCGTTGGAGTCTCTGCTGGCGCTGGGCGCTGGCCAAACGATTGAAATGCGGCTCTTTGAGCACTGCCGCGCCTTTGATCAGGAAATTTAAGATCTTTGAGCTGAGAATCATTTTCTTCTTCTCGTGGAGGACCTTGTTGACATGCCGCTCACAGCTGCTACACAAACGGAACTGATGCTCCAGTTGTTCTCTGTTTCGGGATAGATTTTGGGATGGTATAAAATATCAAGAAATTGCTTTTTTTTCACTCACTTGTAGACCTTGAGCTCCTGATCGTAACGAGACTCGTTCTTGGGCTCGAACTGGGCAAGTTTTTCGATCTTCAGACGCTGCGACTCGTTGCACTGGCCGCACAGGCCATTGTTTAGGGATTGATTCATGGCGGAGGAGGGTATGGCGCCCGAATAGTAGGAATTCGCACAGATATTGGTCTCCTGCGTGGAGGTGTTCTTCTGCGAACTGGCGCCACTGGTGTCGCGCTGCAAGGACATGTCCCGATTGTAGTCGCCATCCTTGGTGAAGCCATTGTACTGCTCGCACTTCGGACAGGTCCATCTATTCCGCTCCACATACCGCACGCGGGCATTTTGATTGCAAAACCAGCAGTTTACTGTCGCATCAAAGCGGGGTCTAGCATCAGTATTATAATCAATTAGTTATTGTAGATACGAGCTTGGGCACTACACTCACCGTATATTTTCATATAGTCTTTTTACGATGACTCTGATTACTAGCAGGATTCCCAGAACTGGGAAGGTAATCATTAGCACTAGCTTGAGCATCTTTCTGGACACCTTCTTCCCTCTTTGTCGTTGCTTACTTTTGACTAGTAATTAACTAAATTGACTATATTTTAGCTATAGTTAAATGACGCCGGATTATCGACTCACTGTTTTTCGCGCGCGGAGTACCATAACCTCACTTTTGCCAATGCGGTAATCGATAGTTGCAGAAATCCAGCGCATTGTGGTGGTTAAACTGGTGGGCATTCTGACTATCGGATGACGTCAGATGGTCACATTGTAAGTTAGTCGATAACTATTTGCGCTATTTGCGTGGGATGGTCAGCCGTAAAATTAAATCGTTATTTCAAAACAGAAAAAAAAACACGTGCAAATTCCCAACAAAACATTTATTGCAATAATATCGCAATATGACAGTCGATATTATGCATTTATCGATACAACAACTTATCGGTAGCAGGCCATCACTGTGTGTTTTCTTTTTAATCGGCGCATTGCACGTGTTTCAAGTTAAAATTTGCAATTTTGACCGCGTTTTAGCCAAAGTAAAGCCTAAAGACCTGCCCTCACCATGCAGCACGACGATGTGAGTACAGATATGGTATACCTAGGGCATGTAATAATTTGACTGCTTATATTACAGGTTGTTTGGAGCATTATCAACAAGTCCTTCTGCTCGCACAAAGTCAAGTAAGTGTTGCATGACCCAACAGCGCAGACAGAAATATATTAATGAATTAATCATCCTACGCAGAACCGACACACGTACCTTCTGTCGCCATGAGTATAATCTGACGGGTCTGTGCACGCGACGGACCTGTCCGCTGGCCAACTCCCAGTACGCCACCGTCCGCGAGGAGAACGGCATCATCTATCTGTTCATGAAGACGGCGGAGCGGGCGCACATGCCCGCCAAGCTGTGGGAGCGCATCAAGTTGTCGCGCAACTTCAACAAGGCCATCGAACAGATCAACGAGAACCTGGTCTTCTGGCCCAAGTACATCATATCCAAGAACAAGCAGCGTTTCCTCAAGATCACTCAGTACCTGATGCGTATGCGACAGCTGAAGTTGCGCCGCCAGAAGCTCATCGTGCCGCTCTCCACCAAGATCGAGCGCCGTGAGACACGTCGCGAGGAGAAGGCCCTGGTGGCGGCCAAGATCGACAATCATATCGAGAAGGCTCTGCTCGATCGTCTCAAGCATGGCACCTACCGCGACATCTATAACTTCTCACAGACTGCCTTCAACAAGGCCCTCGAGGCGGAGCGCATTGAGGACGAACAAGACGAGGAAGAGGACGAGGAAGAAGAGCTGGAGGTGGAGCGTGAAATGGATGTGGACGAGGAAGCTGCCGAACTGCACAGGGATCTGCTTAGCGAGGAGTTTGTTGAGGCCGAAACAGACAATGAAGAGGATGACGACGATTCCCAGAGCGAATCGGGCCAGCGCGAAGAGGTGGAAATGGACAGCGATTTTGGCCATTCCGACGACGACGACGATGATGATGCAGATGCTGATGATATTGAGGTAGCTATAGGCGTTTATATCTTCACATTTGTTTTCGGCAATTGCGGCTTCCATTGCGAGCAACAATTGGTATTATTTTGTGGCTTTATTTGCACACAAAACAAAATTACCATAATTAGAAATGAGAAACGAGTTCCGGCCGAGCCAAGCTCTGTGCAACGACTGCAGTTGTGCGCCGTAGAACGCTTCTGTTTAGAATGTTTTTTCCATTCGTTGACGAATGGCGCGAGTGCGCGCTCTGTCCGTAGCCCAACAAATTGCCGAAAACAAATAGAATCGCTTCCTGGGAATCGAATCTCTTGCTAATATTTTCAATCACAGGACATCAAAGTGCCAGCCAAGAAAACAAAGTCTAAGAAAGCTTCGGATACGGCTGATGCTGCTGCTGCTCCATCATCAACGAAACGGCGTCGCGCCAAACCCAAATTGGAACTGGAGTACGAGTATGAGGTTGAGACTGGGGCGGAGAGGGAGAAAGTGCGCTATTAGCCAGGTACTGGAAGAGCCCACAGAAACACACCCAAACACACACCCTCCCCTTAGGACTTTACGTTTAATGTTTATAGCTAATTAAAAAGAAAAGAAACTGTAATGCCGCTTAAGAATAGTATTTAAATAATTGCAAAAATTCAAACAAATTTTGTGTCTCCGAATCAGAGCGAGAGGGCCATACATGTGCACTGCACATTGTGCAGTGTATGCTCTCTCTCTCTCCCTCTCTTTCTGACCCGAAAATGACATTGAAATGTGCGTGAAGGCGACACGGTGATACGACATAAAGAGAGAGAGAGGGAAAGAGCCCCGGGAACCAGTTTTATAAATAATCAAAAAAACTACAATTATTTTTGCTAGAGTTTTAGTTTTTGCCATACCCATACCCTGTTGGCGGGTTAGATTAGGCGTATATTCGGCTGGCAGTGGAAGAGGAGATAGTACAGCAGGGCCAAAAAAGTGTATAGCAATCGAATTCGAAAGTTTCTTTTGTCTAGAAAAGAACTAGCTATGCAAGGGGAGAAATTAAAGCCATTTCTATGATATTTAGATCTTTCATTCTGCTGGAAACGTTGCATTTTGATGGTTTTAAACTTTCTTTTGAGACTATTTCAAGCATATTTTATAATTTTAAACGTTTCTTTCGTAATGGAACTTTTTTCGGTGGATCTAAAAACTTGTATAAATATATATTATATGTACATTGAAATGTTCATGGGTTTTAAAGATATAAATCTTGATAGAAGAGAAATTTTGGCATTGATCTACCCTTTTCTATGCTCTCGTTGTCTTGTTCGAAAAATGATGCTTTGGTAATTTTATAATTCTTCAAATATTGATTTGATTTCTCTCGTAAATTCTCTATTTTATATTTATAAATGATCTAAGCCCTCTAAAAAGTGACATTCCACTATAAAATGATAATTCTTTTCAATATTTTGCGGAAACTTTAAAGAAATTGTACTGTATAGTCTTTAATTAGTTGGCATCTGCCTAGTCGAGACTCGAACTATTTTTAATAACTCGCTTCTGGCTTGTTGTTGTTACATATTAAACAAAATGCTGAAGTGCTGGCTTGTTGGCTAATTAAATATCGCATGCCAAGTTCAATGCAGCGACACAGCCGTCGCCAGCCGCAGAGCCGTTCCATACCCATAGACGTCTCGATCAGAGCCAGACCCAGACCCAGACCCCAAGGTCGCGTATGTCATCGCGCAATGGAATGACCAAAGGTTCTGTTTGGTCGCAATCGATTGAGCGCTTACCCCCTATTCCTGCCCCGTTAAAAGCTGAAAGGCTATAACTTTATGGAGCCATGGAAAATCGTGAAGGAAATGATATGTGATTAGAGACAGTAGACAGGAGGGGCTTAGAAATATAATTTAAGATTTCTGCTTGAGATATTCCACGAATATTATTATAGATTGCATTTTTGTTTACTATATTTAAGAGGAAAACCATTTAAAAGTAGAGTTTTTCCTTCTTTTTTTTTAAAGAATTTATGATTAAAACTATCGAAAGTGTTTTAAAGGAGCTATGAAGCTTGGTTTTAGGTTTATTAAGAACTTAAATTTAGTAGTAGGCATTTTTGTATTGGAAAAACTCTTGGGGTAAAAGGGAATACCAAAATGATCCATGTATCAATACCTCTTTCAGATGGCACAGGTAAATTTTTTATAATTTCTAATGCACTTAGAAACCATCAAAAAAAAGAAGAATTGAGCACTATAGGAATGCTTGTCCTTGTGGTAGAAAATTTTCACTGAAATACCCATGGGAAATTACGTTTATAAGTGTAACGCGCCATGCGGCAGGGCCCCTCGGTTGGTTTGATTGTGTTTTCTGCATCTCGCTCCCATGATATAGCGAAATTTCAATGAAAATTGGAGTTCCTTACAACTTTTCACATTATATATTTCCATATCATCCATTCAAATCTATGGCAAACCCCACTAAATTAACTTAGAATCCATGGAAAAAGTAATATCGCTTGCTTTTTTTAAACTTTTTATATTATATTCCCTAATTTTAGGAAGATTGCTGCACTAAAACTAATAGATTTTGATGGAGGCCACTCTATATGCTTCTTAAAACCCTCTCAATATTATAAACTCCATTAAAATCCAAGGAATTCTAATGGAAATCGCTTTTATACGCCTTGCTCCGTGATATAGTCCCGTATTATCCATCAAAATCTGTAGGAAACCCCCTCTAATCCCATTTCGCATGATATACTCCCTTAAAATCAATCGAAATCTATGGAAAAACCGATCTACATCTTATTCCTATGATATAATCCATTTTAAAAGTCATTCTTCTTTATACATTCCTGTATAACCGTCCCTAAATCACTTTTATAAGCCTTTCCATATCATGTAGCCAAATATAATCGATGGGGAAAACATATATCGATGCATAAACCATAGGAATACGTATCTATATATATTTGGCCACCCAATAAATCATTACACAAATGCCGTTCAGTTATGTGTATAGTATATACATTATATTAGTTGTTGTAAAGTAAGGATTCAATTTCTAAGCTTTACAATTCTCTCTAGTTTCCCCATTTTGGGATGCGGGAGCACAGTTTGTTGGTTTTCTTTTTTTTGTGTCGAGTGTATTCTTTTTTCCTCTCGATGTTTTTGTGTTGTAAATCTTAGGAGATAGAAGGAAATTATATATATATCTCTATAATATAAATTTTTTGTTTTATGATCAAAGTCCTTTCTCAGGATCACGACACGATAATGTGCGTGTTGCATGAGGCGTCCCCATGCAGATCCCCAAAACAAAATATTTTTTTAAAGTACTGTGTTTAATGAGTGTTTTTTTGGGGTTGTATTTTTTGTATCTGCATCTTCTTTTGGGGGTTATTGTTATTGACCGTCTGTGTATCTGTATCTCCTTTTTGGGCTATTGTTTCCCTCGCGTTGGTATTTCGTGTTTTTTGGTTGGATTATTACCCCGTTTCCCACCCAATCGCCCGTGTGGATGCGCTTTAGGCATTCGGACTGAATGCCGCCTGACGGAGCAGCACGTAGATCTTCTCCTTGATCCACTCCTTGTTGTAGGGGGCATAAGTATTGGTGCTCTTCTGGTACACCATGCAGCTAATGTCCATCAGCGTGTCGATGAAGTCGAACAGCTGGCTAATGTCGTAGGTGATAGTCGGTGTGTTCGGATTGCGGCGCTTCAGATGCTCCTCGTAGATCTTGCACACACCTTCCATGCACTCGTTGACGCTCTCATAATCGCAGTAGGTACGGGTCTCCGGGCGTGCCCCAGGCTGCACCAGCAGTATGGTGTGCGACATCTTTAAAGTCTGGAATGATTTCAATTAGTAATGACATCTGAGGCGCGGTACTCCCACTTACCTTTTTTGTTTTTCCCCTGTTTTCGAATTGATTCCGAGACTGTGCCCACGCCTACGGCTTGCTGCTGTTACGTTGATTTACCAAGGAATGAGGCTTCTGGCCGATGCTGCAATGCGTTAACCCACAAAATATTCATTAATAATGGTCAAAATAAAGGGTTCCGATCGGGTGCCGAACCTGGAATACCCTTGACGGTACATATTGCATGGCAATGGGCAGGAAACGAACAAATTTTTCATTTAACAAGTACATTTTGTGCACGGCAAAGGTATCCCCACGCTGTGGAACGAGAATATAATTGTTTTATGGCACTTTCTCTTTCCGGCAGTGTCCACAAAACAAGCAACCCTATGCGAATGGATACCTCGTACAAAAATCTTTTGGTTCCTCTATCGCACACACAAACACACGCGCGTATGCATGCACACAATATATGCGCGGAAATGTTTTGCTTTTAGCGGATTTTTTCACATTTTTCATTTTTCATTAGAAAAAAATATCTGCCCCACTGAATTGGGCCTTTCATTAGCCAAATGCTGTGCATTTGTTTAAATTATAGTTATTTTTGTAAAGAACTTCGAAAACTATTTTTGCCGCTTCACAAGAAAACGCACACATACCACACAAACAAGCACACACAGGCAGATCGTCTGTACAGCGCCCAACAATTTGTTGTTTCTTCGCTATTTTTTGTTAAATTTACAATTTAATTAAATTTTATTGTTTCCTTACCTTGTATTTTTTGACAGTACTTAAAATGATTTATGCCGGCTTTTCGACGTAAATTTTCGCGTTCACGCTTGGTTTTTTTTATTTTATTTTTTTGGTCACATTTGCTACTAAGCAGCGGACTTATCGATAAAATATACCCGACCGTCAGAAATATACCGAAACATACCGTCTCATTTGAAATATACCGTAAATATACTGACGTATTCAAGATCTATTTTACATATTCCTCATTTTTATTATCCGGGGAATATTAATAGCTATATAGAACATTTAACCATGCCGACATAATTTCATCCGATTAATGAATAAATTTTCTACTTGACTGGCTTACTCTAAATACTTGCTTTTATAGGATCTAGTCAAAAAATAGTTCACGCAAAAAAAGGATTTAGTGAAATAGGTCACACAAAAAAACGAAAGAGGATAGTCGTTGATATTGTTCATTTTTTATATTCCGTTGAATAATTCTGGCTGACTAAAACAATGCCGACATAATTTTAGGCCATTGATGAATAAGTTTTCTACAAAATTGGTTAGTTTTTAGTCCATGCTTTTATTGTATTTCGACTACAACAAGGGTTAAACAAAATAGTTCAACAAAAAAAACAGTTGCGCATAGGCCTTTGTATACCCTATTTCGTTAATTTTATATGAAGATAAAACGTAATTTATAAAGACCTTTTCTAAATTGATATGTTTTAGACGTATTCATGTATATTATAAGTATTTTGTATATATTTATCTCGATCCTGATACCTACGGAGCCAGGGCTGACAAACATTTTCTCAATTCTATTATATCCTTTTACCTAGGGGGTTCCTTAGTGTTAGAATTCTTGGGATTTGATATTCCAGCAAATATTACTAGCTATATAGATCTCTTAGCTTTGCCCACATAATTTTATACGATTAATGAATCAATTTTCTACTTGACTGGCTTACTTTAAATAATTGCTTTTATTGGATTTCTATATACCGTTGAAAATTAAATTTGATAGATTGATGAAATTGAAAAAATGTACCATTATATACCTAATTACCGTAAATATACCGTCGGTACAATTTTGATCTAAAAAATACCGAAAAGTAATAAATACCAGATACGGTCACCCTGCCACTAATGGAAGGAAAAAGAGGGTATGGATAATGGGCAACACGAACCATTAAATGCAATGTATGCAAGGTGAAATCCACCCCACTTGCCGAATATACCATGAAGACGAAAAGCCGATTTTGTCTTCGACACTCAGAAATATACCGAAATATACCTGCTCATTTTCAAAATATACCGATGAAAAAAACGAACTTAGCCCTTTTAGCCCCCTTCTTTTTAAATACTTAAAAAAACATGAGTGAGGCCGCGGAAAAATACACGGTTTATAAATTCTTGTAAATCCATCCCATTCTTCCACTAAACTTATAAAAATAAACCACGATATCTATCACCTGAATTGCGCTAAACTTCTTTAAGTTTCAAAAATTTCGTGGAGTGTATTTTAATGCCCACTGGTAGACAATAGGCTAATCGTTTTCTGTACATGATCGGAAATCATATTCCTCGATTTTGAGATTCGGCTTAAAATTACTAGTTAGCTAGGGCTCTTAGCCCTGAAAGCATTGTTTTACCCAATTGATGAATCTATTTTCTACAAGATTAGCAGAATTTAAGGACTCTTATTTATTGGGTTGTTTATAAAACATGGTTTAAACAAAAAAGGTCAAAGCTTAAACGTAGGTGTGTTTGAAATGCTAGCTTCAATGTGGCTGGTTTCAGCTATGAGTATGGACATTTTTATACCCTATTTGCTCTAATTAATGTTGAAATTCTGTTTTCCAGTAATGAGTTTTTCCTATATTGACATTAATTGACCTATTAATGCAATTGATTTGATTTTTGTGAATATACATATAGCTTTAAAACAGAGACTTACTGATTTCTGCATGCCTGCAATTATTGTAAAACTATTTAATAAAATATTCTCCCTGTTGTATGGAGATACATTAATTCCAACTGGAGAATTCATGTAGCGGGCAATTCCTATTGGAACAAACCATGGCTGGGCAGAATCTTTTTCCTTTAGTCTGGCAGCTCTATGATGGGTTCTCGCGCTGCCAGATCGGCGAAACTCCAGCTGTTTATTTGTTGTATTGTTTTTTCCATCGTACTGGACCAATTGGAAGACCGCCGACGGACGCCGCTCAGACCAACGACGCGATCGGCAAAATAACGACGAAATTCCGTGGTTTATCTATAATTTCAGCAAACGCGATCGGTTTTTTTTTTGTGTCCCTCACTGTTGTTGCTGTTGCAACGAGTGAAATGTTTGGTGCAAAGTAAAGGCGCAGACGCAGCCGCCACTGTCGCCGTAGTCCAATTGTGCAAGTGTTGTGTTTTGTGGTTTTTTTTTTTTTGTTAACTGTTAATTGAAAAGAGAGTCTCTCGCGCCGCTATCCACTCTCCACGCACGCGTGTCGAAATTTTCGTGACCCTCTCTCTCTCTCTATCACTCTCTTGCTCTCTTGTTCTTCGTTTACTGTAATTTACATTGGCGTTCTGTAGCGGGTTCTACGGTTAATCCAATCCCTAACACGTATCCGTTCTCTCCTTCCCCACCCACCCACACACACAAACCTATGAGTAGATCCGTGTTTGTTTTTGTTGTAATTCGTTGTTTGTGTGTGGTTTGAAAGTGTGTGTGTGTGTGTCCTGATGTTCTCTGCAGCCAATGGGAAAATCAAGGTGTGCACTACCCCTTAGAAAACCTAGAATACCCCCGTAGTACCCCCGTAGTACCCCCGTAATACACCCCGTACCCCCGTGTATGTATGTACAATGTATGTAGTAAATCCTTGCCCCCTGTCCTGTAGCTGCCTTCGGAGGACACTGCTCTGGTGACTTCCCCACTGCGCTGCCTCTTCAATGGACCCTTTCGCGATCTGCACTTCAATGTGAGCGGCGACCATCGCCTGATACCCGTCCACGATGTGGTCTTCCTCGATGACTTTGAGCGCAACGTCAAGCCGTTGATCTACAGGCCCGTGACGTCAGAGACATCCGGCGGCGGGGTTCTTCTAGCCAGCGAGTCGTCTGAAAAGCCGCCCCCCCACACCTATGCCGCTGCCAACAGGTGAGTCAAAGAGCTGCAGTGCAGCTTGAAGCAACCTTGAACTTGTTTCGATCACTCAAAACCCGTTAGAACCGCCGCAGCCGAGAGGGCCTTGGCTTTCAGATATCAGGTTTTTCTCTGTCTTCCCACGAGATTCTCTCGCGTTGTGATTCATTGCCTCGATTTGGTACCAAAAATGGATTGCACGCGTCGATGAACATCGGGGGGGACTCGCCAAGCGTTGCTTTTTAATTATGGACAAACTTGGACTACAAATTGTTGAATTATGCGAAATTCGGTAGCCAAAAGTTCACTAAAAAACAACGCAGGGGGATGTAAGAAGTGCTGAAATCGATTGAGCTGCCTTTAAGATGAAAGAACTGATTGTCAGCTGATTGAACTGCTTGAAACATGCAAAATCAACTGCTTGCCTACGGCATCACCTGTTAAACGCTTGGCAGCAGCTGATTTGCCTGCGAGCTCCCACCTGTTTCTGGCCTGGCTATAATTTGTCTTGTTTTACGCTCTTTTTCCAGAGATGTTTGCACTTCATGGCTCTCCTCTCCACCGCTAAGATAAGACCATAGGCGCCCCTGCCGTGCGATCTGATGAAGCATTATTACCCCTACTACTATCTGAAAAGAAAAGTAAAGAAAAGTTCTCAGTTCTCTCAGCTGGTATGCTGGCAAGTTCTTATCAAACAAGCGCCATTCTAGGCCTGTTTATTGACTTGCCTTTTGCTGTTTTAATTGTTGCATTTTACGAGTGTTTTCTGCTTGATTTTTTGTACCTTTTACGGGTGTGTTTACTGCTCGAAGCTACCTCTTTTAACGCTTCCGAGGTGTCATCATGGTTGATGCTGATCTTCAGATAAACAAGCCACCTCTGAAGTAATCTTTATTTTGTTTCCTTGTGGCTCCTCTTCGATTCTAACATCCTCAAATTCTACATTATATTTTTAAAATTTTAAATTAAAGAACCTTTAACCGGAGGTGCCGTTTATTCTATGAATTCTTCAAAATCCATTTAAATTAAGTTCTCAAAACATGTAGATTGCTCACGTTCTGGGTAGATCATCTAGTCCCACGATGATCACATCGAAAGTAAACAAACGAGTGCCACCGAGACAGTACCCAGAAGCATTAGTATATCACTAATGAGGAAGACAGTGATTGTCTCTAGCCTCATCTGGAACTTGCGGAACGAATTCTTTTGGGTAGTTTCTCGTTCATCATAGAAAGAAAGGCATGTATGGGACTGGTCCTCAGTAATCTTCTTCTCTGCATTCAGACTTATTTGAAAACGAAACGAATTGGATTCGGATTTGACTTCTTCTGTCGTTGAAAAGGCTTCCTAAAATTCTCTGTAATATAAAACCTCTGTCAAAATCTTCAGGTAAAAAAAAATCCCATCAATCGTTTTGGATATCGGCTCTGAAAATGGCGAGTGAAAATTGAAGATCCCTGACCTCCCAAAGTCCACAAATCATTGAAAGTACCAAAAAAATGCCTGAAAGAAAGCCCTATTTATCAGATCATGCCATCATATAATTTCCATGCTAATTTCTCGTGTTTTTCGCTCGCTGCTTCCGCATTTGTTTTGAGTTTTTATTTTGTTTCTGTTTGTGCGTATTTCTTGTGTATTTGAAGGTTGTGTCTGTTTTTGATTTTTGGTTGAACGGAGCTTTGATTCGTTTCGTTTCGGTTCGACTGTCTTCTGTCTGCACGTGGCAGCGGCGTCTCGCTTTATTGCCTCACTGTCCTCGTTGCCGGCAAAAGTGAGTATGTGTCGCCCTTGGCATTGACCGGCCGTCGTCTGGTTGTTCGTTCATTCGTCTTTCGCATAATTAAAGCCACAATTCCGTTGTCCGTCGCCGGTTGCCAGTGCAACGACTTCAATTAATGTGCAACACCATAATTGGCAGAGTGACCTCCTGCGGACCCATCGGACAATACCCATCGCAGGGGAGTAATTATATTTTCGCTAGCACCCCAAGTAAACGCTTAAATCAGGTCTGTGCAGAGGTCAGAAGGGTGGCCACCAGCAGCAACATTGTACAACCAATCTTGGGCGAAGGGATTGTAGAAGTAGTCTTTGAACTCGGCTGAACTATCAGCCAGAATACGCTTCTGTGATTGATCGTTAGATGTGGTAACGCCGCGACCGGGAGCAACCAACTTCACGCCGCTCGTGACAGTGCTGCCAGATGGCTGCGATTGCGGAAAAGTGCGGACCGCCGGCAACCTCTTTGAGTTTTCAAATTGGAAATGTTGTGGCGGTGCTGTTTTTGCAAATATACAGTTATAATGAGTTGAATGATGGGCTTTTGTGGCCAGGTTTGGGTCTACCATCATCAGCATCAGCAACATCAGGGGGAAGCAATTGCAGAGCCTCAGCGGCATTGAAATGGCTCATTAAATCTGACTCGTTGCGGTCCTAACTCATTTGCATTTTTATGGTTCGACTGGCGCTCGATGGGGGAGGAGCACCGGAAGCACTGCCAAAGCAAAAAACAGATAATAATTGTTAAATATTTTGTTGTTGAATATCACGCGAGTGCGAGTATTCCAAGCAAAACCCCCAATCGATTGGGCATTGCAGAATCAAATCAATGCAATTGTTTTGGGGACAGAAAGTCGGTGAGCAGCACGTGCGAAGGGCTTCCTTCCTATCGCCACAATGTCGCCCCCGAAAATCGCTGACCCATTTTACGTCTAGGGCTACGGTTACGAGTGTAGTAGTCGTTTTACGGACACAAGAGAAACAAAGCGGAGGGCAGGGTAGAGACACAGAAGAGTCTTTGAGTGACCGTCCCGTCCAGTCCAGTCCAGCTCTTGCTCTTCTTGTTGTATACCCTGTAGAGTGTGTGTAGGGAGAGCTGCTACCGCTGCTGCTAAGCCACACTGGGAAAAAGAGCGCCTGAGAGACAGAGAGGATGCTTGTGTGTCTCCTCTCTGGAGGGTATCTCTTAGTCGTGTACCCTGCTGAACTATCTTTGTATCTGCTACCTGCACCTCGGCTCGGTTATCTAATTGAATTAGCCCGGACAGAGCCGCCGTCCGCTTGGGGACGCGTCTAAGGTCTCGCGATGTGAAGCCCCTGAAAGTCGCACCACGGCGGCCGTTCTCCGTTTTCCGTTTCATCCGTCGATTGCGATTTTTCAGTGCGTTCGTTGCAAGTCTATGCGTAAGTCGAAAGTCGAAACACAAGTCCCATAAACAATTACTTTATTAAAAACATTCTTACAAAGTATTCAGAGTGGGTGTTTTTGTTGTTGTGTTGTGAAGACTGATTTAAACAAAGGATTTGAGCAAAGGAATACGAAAAGTTTTGATACAATGCCAGAGCGAAGGGTCAGTCAGCGCGATGTCGATGAGATTGAGATCGAGAGCGATGAGGAGGAGGAGAATCTTGAGCAGGGCGTCGGTCTGTCCGTTCAATCCACACGCAATCGGCGTCACTCCCCGCCCCCCATGTCACGGGGCGGTCGTCGTATTGCTGGCAAAATCCCCAACGGTAACCAGAATGAACGGACCCCCGATCGCCTGCATGACGACGACGAGGATGCTATCTTTGAAGACCATGGAGAAGAGAACGATGACGATGAGGTGGATGAAGGCGATATCGAGCTGCTGGACTAGTAAGTACATGACGATTGATTGCCGATTGATCCCTTCCGATTGCGTTCCCTGGAAACTATTTTCTATAATTGAAAGACGTTTGTCCGTTCGATGACTCACTTGTTGGCCACTTTCTGGCTAGTTGTGGCTTCTGCAGTGCTCAAATTCCACCTTAAACTGATTTTAATTTTGTTCCTATTTTTGACTATCATTTGATGTTCTATCGAGCCACATTTGATGGGAATTTCAATGACTCAAAGATGTTTTGAGGCCCAAAATGAGGTTCAAACAAGGAAGGTTTGTTGTAGAACTGGCCCTAATAAAAATACACGTCTGGCCCTTAGGAAGGACTGAGCCTGGACTGCCTTAAAAATGAAACTGTAGGCCCCAGGAATTCTGCAGTCTCCTTCCATCAGGCAAGGGATCTGACACTCGGGCATGTCCTGGACTGTTGGGCGCTTAATTAAAATTAATGAAGTATCCTTGATGGAGGCGTCAGCCATCACCTGAATCAGTCGCCGACTGGAGCGTGGAGCGTGTAAATATTTACAAATTTCGGGTTACATTTCGAGCGGGTTAATTGTGCAGAAAACAGAGAGCCCCCGATGCACTCACAGGCTCCGCGAGCCCCTTGTCTGTGTCTCACTTCACCATCGAAGGATATTAATCACTTGGGATTTTGTGGCGAATGCGAATGCAAGTCGACCTCCAAAGGCGGTGATAACAAGTGAAATATGAATAAACATTTATGCAGAAGAACCCAAAAAGATACCGCCACAGGAGGCATGCCACACACAAACACAAAATGGCGGAGAAGCCACTGATGGCCCTCCATGTCGCACAGAACAGCTTTAATGCATGTGTGGAGGCAGGAAGCAGGATGCAGTGCTCAAGGGGGATTTCGTGGCATGTGTGGGGGGTGCCGAAAAAGTCAGCAGGCCAACGACAGCGACAGCTACAGCAAAATACTAAAGAAATTTCCACTAAGCTGCGTAGAAATTCGGAGCTTTGAAAATGGTTTAAAAAAGTACCCTTCCCCCCCCGCACCACGCCCCCAAAGGATACGCTTTAAAAAGTGTTGCGGAAAGTACACTTCATAAATGATCAAAAGTATCTCAGATGCGTGCAGAGTATTTTCATAGTTTCGTCTCTGGTCCCATCTCTCGAGGGTATCTTGTGCACCCCGGCGCGGGGTGTGGAAGCGTACTTTTATTGCTGCCTCGCCGGTTTTCTTTTTTTTTTGTGGCTCTGAGAAATACTCCTACCGAGTCTTCTGGCAGTGCCACTGCCATGGCCACACGTTGTACATTTTACGGGATTTTACGGGGGTTTTTTTTTCCGGGGAATTGGTGGCCGAGGGAGCCTGCGAAAATATTTGATGCTTGCAGCGCATCGCTTTGGCCGCATCTCGACGATGTTGCAAAAGGTTGCTGCACAGCTGCTATGCTTATTATGCGCGCCCCTTTCGGAGACCACCCCCCCTCCCATGCCCTCCTAGGGGGGAAAAAAACTCCTGCACATGCGAGCGAGCCACATTTCAAGTGAAATTGCCCAGAAGCACGGAAAACGGTAGAATACAACAAAAATACGCATGCATATGCATTGTATGGTAACAGAAGCACCGTGTACCCTGTAATCGGTTGTGGCTTGGGTCTGCATTCCATACCATTCCATTCCCATTTCATACAGCATTCGATACTTCGTTCGGTATGTCTTGGACACCCACCGATCGATACATCATGCGATCCTACTTTCGATACCAATTTTGATACCACTTTCGATAAAACTTTCGATACCACTTTCGATACCATTTTCGATATCACTTTCGATATCACTCTCGATACCAATTACGATACCACTTTCGATACCAATTACGATACCACTCTCGATATCACTTTCGATACCGATTTCGATACTAATCTCGATACCACTTTCGATGCCACCGTCTCGATACCACTATCGATACCACTTTCGATACCACTTGCGATATCACTATCGATACAACTTTCGATACCACATATAATACTTTTTTTTCGTTGCCATGATTGCAATCTTTTTCGATACACATGCTATAATTTTATTCCGACATTTTTAGGAAAAAATTCCTAATTAAACCGATAATTTGGTCGATAGAAATTTCGATAAGCTCTTCGATACCTTATCTGTGGATATCACATTTCGATACCTCAATCGATACAGTTTTAGGTAAATTACGCGAATTAAACCGATAACTTTTTCGATAAATTGTTCGATAACTGTTCTGATACTTATCCCTCTCTCCCGACAACACCCCCTTTATGCCCCTCTCTCTCGCTCTCAAAACCCTTATCGATAGCTCTACATCGACATCTCTCTAGATATTGCTTTGTCGCTTGATACCTTTATCGGTAGCTCAATCGATAATCATTAAACCCCCCCTTCTGCCCCTTCGGGTTGATGGATACCTTATGCACACACATCCTTAAATTTGTCCAAATATTTCGAAATTTTAAATTGAGAATCTTCTTGGAGATGGTTTGATGGCTGCCCCTTTTCTTATACCCCAATTCAAGCGCTTTTTCGGTGCCAGGGTATTCATATTTCGCGTTTTGTGTGTGGCGTGTGTGGCCCCATGCTTTCGCTGTGCCAGAGGGGCGCCAACGCCGGATGGGGGCGGCCTTCAATGGTCGGAGGGGAGGCTGCTGCATTTGCGTTTGAGCGCTGCCTGCGGGCTGGACACTGCCGTGCATATGTGGAGAGGGTGTGGAGCGTGTGGCGGGAGGGAGCGCGTGTCCTGCTGCCGGAAAAAGGATTCAGAAATTCTATTATGCCCCATGCCACGTCCTCCAGGCATCTGCCGCCTGCCGCTTGCTGCTTGCTGCTGTTGAGGCTTTTGATGCATATGCGGTTTTCTATTCGATTTGCTTGGACGCCGATTCGGTTACGCTTTTGTATATTTCTTTATTCTTTAAAGAATTTTTGTTGCGTTCGTTTTTCTTTGTTTTTTTTTTTCCTTTATATTTTGTTGTGATTTTTCACATTTTAATCCTATTTAAACAGGACGCTTATTGTCGGACAAAAGCAAGCATTTCTCCATAAGTATCTATCTATAAGCACAAATTCCTCCGACAAGAACGTTTCTCTGTATTCTTTTTTTTATTGAAGAACCATACCATATTTATTCATGGATCTCAGATCTTTCTCTCTTTTTTTTTTTTGGCATTCTGAAACGCACTGTACTGTGCCCCAAAGACCCTTCCGTTTCCCGTCTACTTTAATATTGATTTTCTCCATTTTATTCTTGCCATCACTTAAACGGCTTTTCTTTTATATTCTTTTTGTTCCTTCTCGTTTCAGTGATACGTGAGTACAACCCGAAATTTGTCTGAAACCCCACGAAACAAAAGACGCCGCGTTGCTGCCACGCCGAGTGTGTGGCACGCTTACAAAGGGACCACAAAACATGTGGCGGGTGGGCGGGCACATTCCGTCAGGTATTTACTTTTCCTTCATTTCGTGGGTATCTGAATGCAGTTCCCCTTTTGCTTATTGTGCGGCGAAACATAATTAAACATTTGATTAAATAATACAAATAGTCAGAGCCTTTGAATGTGACACAAATAGAGCCGAAAATGTTGTGCAAATATATTAAGAATAATGGTTTATTTATTATATGCATATTCTTTGTATTTATATTATATTTTAAGGTTTAAATTGTTGTCTTTAAGTGGAGTTTTTGATGTTTCCAATTCTATTTAAGATTTTTACTTTTGGGGATGCCATCTGTGGCTTTCTTTCGAAATTTCAGGGAAGGAAACGAGCCATAGAAATTCATTTCTCATTCAAAATGTGTAAAGAATAGAGATCACAGCTCTTAATTACAGAATATGTATAGAAGATCATATTTATACGTATGCAAAGAGATGCCATCTGGTGGTTAGGCGTTGCCACCTTCGATTGCTTCGATTGTCAGAGATTATCATTCATTAAACATTTCCCAAGCTCCTGCTTCTCATCCTCTGGACGTCCTTGCCCAATCCTTGCAACAATCAGGGGCATGGCACGTTTGAGACAAAAAGAAGACAAATGCTTACGTCTGACGGCAGGGATACCCTCGAAGGGGGAGTGTACCCTCTTGCCATCAATAATTACAGCTACTCGAATGCCACTTCCCCTTGCTCAGTCGCTTGTACAACCACTCAGGTTTTGCTACACGTTTTTCTAGGGAACTTTCCCTCACGGGTCCTGTGCGGAGCGTTACGTAGATGTACGTGAAAACGTGTCTTTGCCGAAAGCTAAATCTGGTTTGGGGAATCTCTCGCAGGAAAAAAAGGGAAAACGGATAATGGCAACAATGGAAGAATGTAAAAATACTCATAAGAACGAGTATATTGGAAATGAAATGTGATATGAATGTTATACAATGCGGCACACACACACACACAGACACACAGATACAGACAAGGACACAGAATGAATCCAATCCATGCGAAGCAAATCGAATCGGATCCATAAGAGCAGTTGATTTTACGAGCCTTAAGCATGACACTGAAATTAACTGCGAGGACGAATGCATACGCAGATTTTTATGACAGGCCGCCACCAAAAAGAGAGTGGCATTGCGGATGCGGTGGATGGATCCGCAATCCGCAATCCACGTGGAAGTGTGGAATGGAGCGGAATTTCCGCTGCGAGGCAGAGGAGATGCACTCGGTACTCGGTTATCCCCATGTGTGTGGGGGGGGTTTGAATCAACTCCTCAATTCTTTCCAGTTTTACGAGCATTTGCTTGCTCAGTCCAAAACGAGTATGCGTGCATCGATGATGGATGTCGATGGTCGATTGGCCCAAATGACAGGATATAACATCAATTTGTTGAATAATAAACGCACAACTATGGCAGAAATGATTTAGAAACGTTTTTGGTACAATTTCAGCTTCGATTTGTTATCGATAACATTATTTGTGAATCTAGACCACAAACCGAACACATTTTACGTGTAGATAAAATGTACATACCGAAAGGATAGACTCTCGAGTAAAATACATCGATATTTCAATCGATTTTCGTTAGATTTGTAATCGAATTAATCGATTTCGAATTGTTTTCCTAACAATAAACTAAAAACTTATGAACGATATGTAGCCGATACTTTATTATCTTTATTGATCGATTATTAATCGATATTGGTCGATATTTTGTTTCCCGAAGATTTGTTATCGATAAATATACTTTTTTAATACAATTTAAACGTCACCGAATATTAAAGGACAACTTTTTTAGACAACTTTTCATACCAGTCATAGCCGTTAAATCGATATGTTAGTCAATCGTTGTTCGATTATTAGTCGATAGACCTTTGGAGTCCACCAATCCTTTCGCTTTCTTCACTGTACTGCAGTTAAGCCCCTACTTTCTGCAGGGTATTCGAGCAGCTCCAGCTTTGAATGCCTTGACCATTCACTAGTCATGAAGTTCCGGCCTCAACGTGGACTGTGGACCCCGGCAAAAGGCAATCAAAATCTAACCTCAGGGTTTTCGGGTGGTGGAGGGGGGAGGCATATTGCTGCTGTTGCATGTTGCAGCTTCTGTGTGTCAACAGGTTTCGGTGTGGCCCCGTCGACTGCATCGCTGATTTCATTCGCTCTTTGCCCCTGGGCCTTTGTCTCTCCTTACTTTAATTTTTCCTCTAATTGACAAATGGATTTTGGGGCCCAGGAAAGAGCACGGCATGAATGTGGTGTTCATAAGTTTGCTGATACGCTGGGCTCTTGAAATGATATGAAAATTCGCGTTGAGCTCCCTACCGCCGCCCTGTAAATGTCCTTCGGGGGCTTGTAAATCTCCACTCGACTCCACTCGCCTGCTGTTGCTGCTTCCGCCTGTCTGTCTGTCTGTCTCTCTGTTTGGCATTAATAATGTAAACGTTTTAATATTTAATATTACGCATACGACATGTTGCGCCATTTTTTTTTTAAGCTTCTTAACATTGCTCTGACATTTAAATGAATTTTCAATAATTTCGTTGTAGGCTTTTCGGGGTGTTTGGGGGGGGTTTTGGCCACCGAATAGAGTTGTTGTTGCATGCCACCAACAAGCACTTAACGCCTAGAAAGAAGGACCCTCGTCTACCCACTTCCGCATCCACAGGAGGCCCCCCCTCCCCACCCAAAAAAACGTTATGGTGTGATGTTGGCGCCAAAAAAAAAAACCTACTCCCTGAAAATGCCATTTGTGCAAATCTAATAAACAGCGAACCGCATTAAATTTAACACTGAGGTGTGGGATGAATGGATGAATGGATGGATGGCTGGCTGGATGGATGCTCACTCGTATACATATACGCGGTCGGGGAGACGTGTACATTTTTGAGGGTAGCAGCGCTACAATGGCGATACTTTCATTATAGTCGCCGCACAAAGGGAATCCGCCGTCGTTTTCTTTTTTTCGGCTGAATAAAATGTCTATTTGATTGGGTAATGAAAAGATTCATAGCCGATGCATAACCGATTCAGAAGTAATTCAGAAGTGATTTTTAATCGACTTAAAACGGGTTGATTTTGAAAAGATTAGTAACCGATTCAAATCTGTTGCATAAACGAATCAGAACCGATTCAGAATGTGTTGGTATTGAAAATAACCTTTTCATTACAGATTCTCTATCGACTTGGAACAAAAGTATATTACAAAGATTCATAACCGATTCAAAAGCGATTCATTATCGCTTCGTTTCCAAATTATATTTGCGGTACAAAATTTTTTTCTTTTTTAAATAGTAAATAATAAAAATTCTGATAATTAAAAAAAAGTACAAATTAAAAAAAAAAAAAAGATTAATCAAGGTCGACGAATTTGGAGGGGACTATTTTTGGCTCAATTATCTGTCCAGGTTTCTAGGGTAGCTTTAATTGTATTTTTTGTTGTTGCTTTTTGAACAGTTTATCGAATTATTCGATAGCTGAACAATTAACCAAACTTCGATTTATAATCGACTGCATTTTGGGCTCGCTATGGTTTTTATGTTAACAGTAAATAAATAGAAATTCGATATAAATACGATATATTATCGGTTTATAATAATTTTTCAAAACGAAAGGGTACCCTTTTTCCACAATTTCCCACATCTTTCTTCTGGGATTTATCGGCCAAAGGATGCTTTCGTTTTCTTAGCGTCGCAGCGTCGTCCTTGCCTCGTCGTTTTGCTCGACTTGCCACTTTGAGGCGCGCGCGACCTTATGTGTCTATGTCTGCGTGGGGCACGGGGCATGAAGCCTCGGCCTATGGGCCATTGACTGGCTGTCGCAGTGAGGCCTGCAGTCAAGTCTTTTTTGTTTGTTTTTGTGAGCCCGAGCTTCATGGTTCATGGCAGAACCTTTAGGAAGAATTAGCCTTGTAAATAGAAACTCAACCGCAGGGGCCAGGCGAGGCCAGAGAGCCGCTTAAAGGCGTGTTCCTATGATCTTCATTGGTATCATCGCTATCCTCGCTGTAAAAGACTGCGCTGTGAGACGACTCGTTACCTTCTTCTGACTCCACCTCGACCTCTGACTCGACCACAGCGTAGAGACCGAGGACCCACAGACGATACTCCACAGACACCAGCCCGGCGGGCAAAGCCATGCCGAAGGACCATGGGATCCATGGGATGTAGAACCATTGAGAGCTGGTGGGTCTCCTACATCGTTGCCATTTTGTTTGGCTTTCTCTACTGCTTCTTGCAACGTTTTAAGGGCCAAAAAAGAATGTCAACCAACGGTTTTTACACTGCTCCTTCAATCTGGCACGCCTTAACCCTTTTTCTCCCTATCTCTCTCTTTGTCTGTGTCCCTGTGTTTTTCACTCCGTTTTTCCGGGGATTTTTCTCTTCATTCAAATGATTCATTGTATGCCATGAATGCAGGTAGTGTTTTCGCTTCGATGTTTGTTTTTAGTTTATGTTTGCACCCCGCACAAGTAGAGTGCGAAAGGGATATGTATTTCCCACCTCATTGCTCTCATTGCAAACCCCAGCACAGGGTAGCCTTTAGTCTTTAGTCGTGTACGAGTATCAACCCTTCCCTCATTTCGTATTAGTTTTGATTTGTTACATTGGTTTTTGTTGCTCTCCGGCACTGTTCCTGCTGGTAGAGTGGCAGGACAATAAAAACCATTTCATTTGAATAATGTGAAAACATTTTGTTGGGACGACACCCCCACTAGCACCCCACAGCCATCCACTGTCATTGTCCTGAATTTCCCATAGTTTTTGTTCTGGGTTTTTGCCTTTTAAACTGCTCTCCAACTGGCATGCCTTTGTCTGCAGACAGACATACAATCGCATCTTATAGACAAGCCACTGGGGCCATTGATTGCCAATTGATGGACAGATGAAGGGCAAAGGCGGAAAAATGATTGAATTTTCGGCCTTTAGCTGCACGAAATAGTGAGAGACCATGCCATTTGTATGGCACATGCTATCGATAATATTATCGATTATCCAATGATTTTTCTGTACATTACTTATAAATATCACCCGAAATAGAAAATATCTATATAAATGATCGATAGGTTTTATCTATGATCGATTATTAACCAATAACTCGATCGATATATTACCTTTTTGGCCGTATATATCGATATTTATCGATGAATTTCGATTATTTAATGCATATTTTAACGTTTTCATGTTTCTGTGCGTTATGCCCAGAAAATGCAGCAAATATTATCGATTATAGCCCATATATATCGATCTTTGCCGATACATTTTGATTATTATTAGATAATGTTCCAATTATATCGAAAAATGGCAAATATTTATTAGATGGTAAAACCATTTTCCATTTTATTCCATAAATAATACAAAATTACTACAATAGGTATAAAATTGAATTTATTTATTTGCAATTCGTTGGGCGTTTTTCCCGAAAAACAGAAGCAACTTTAATCGGCGTCCGATGGGAGAGGCAACAACTTGATTGTCAGCTGGTGGGATTTTCCAATATATGTATGATCCAAAATGAAAGCCCCCGACCAAAAAATCAACCGCGCAAGCCCCTAATTATGGGCACTTTTCCTTGTGCTGTTCGTGTGGCAAAAATGAAGAATCGCTGACTTTCGGATGGCAAAAGGACATTCAATCATTGATTGTAGGGCGGAACTTTTTCGCCTAAAAGTGTGCCACGTTGTCCGTGTCGAAGAGATTATTGCTATTTGGAGCATTTACCCGACATGGAGGAGGACCTGGCTATACCGGACACATATAAATGAATAATTTGTTATTCAGGAGAGTCCGTCCCCTGGTTTCCCATCTGCCTCATTCGGTGGCACATATAATTGCCATTTCCCCAATGGAAAACATGTTTGTGGGCCACTCGCCACAAGAACGTCTTCATATTTGATTAGATTAGTGACTAATCAGCAGGCGCGTTTCGGTTTCTCGATTCTCGATTCTCGATTAGTGGCCTGCAATTAATTGAGAAGTTCTCAAGGGTTTAATCATCGGCGTTGATTGATTTAAATGGTTTGTGGGGCATTCCTACACACGACCTATGGCCTATGGAGCTATGGCTATTGACAATCCGATAGCGATAATTTTATGTGCTTTTTGTACTTAATTCGATTATAATTCCTATCGATAATATTTCAGTAATTTCTGATCAATTTTGAATTTTCCACGATTTTTGAGATGGTTTTCTCTACATTACAGATACTAGAAATAATGACATTCAAAAATAGTTTGTGTCGATTATTTTTCGATGATTATTTTCTTTTCAGTAGGCCCTGCCGTTTCGTTAATTCTTTGCAGTTTAGACCTACATTTTCTCTCAACTTTTGATCTCGACTTATAGCTAAAACCATGGCTGATAAAGTGTACGCAAATCCGTTTTACCGAATCGTTCAAGAGCAGTCCAAGGTCTTTAGTACAGCCGTAGATGATTTATCCATTATCGCAGATCGCGAGTTTGTGCGGAGGATGCATCAGAGGGTCCTTAAGTGCTCCACGAAGTGCTGTAACAACACCAATGACAGTGCCTTAGCTGTGGAACTCTGCGTTGATCGTCACTTGCCCAGGCCATTGCCAGCGGAGACTGACATCAAAGGGACTCTAACAAAGTTCATGATTCCCATAGTGGACTGCATGTTTCACTGTCGCTACACAGAGAGCTCTTCCACGGCTTGTGCGGTTAAGTGTATGAAGGAAGTGCCGCAATTGATAGAGGACATGTTTGGCGGAGAGAAAAAATTAAAGGGGAAGCATAACTAAATCCATTTGTACACCCATCAAATAAACAATCCTGTAAGGCGAGCACAAAGTACCAAAATGGGGGTTTCGAACACGGAAATATGGAAATTACATCTGTGAAATGTCCTTGAAATGTACCGTTTCGTAGTGCACGCTTCTGGCTTTCTTCTTTCTCTGAAGAAGAACTTCTCTTCTGAACTTTTGTGGGGTATTTTTGCATAAAAGTCTCTGAATGAAAATCCAGTTATCAGGGTATGGATATTTATGAATATTCTTCCCCCAAATGTTCCGCACTGCAACCCGAAGGAGAAGCAACAGATTTTGGTATAAATCTGAGCCTTAGGCAATGAAAAGCCTTTTTTTTCGCATATTTCATGGTATCGATAATTATCGATTAACCACATGCTTTTTGTGGGCAACTGTACTTCAGTGCAATGCACAGCATCGGGAACGCAGCAAATGATTTGCCTGGAACCAGAGACGACGCCAGCAACCAGTAGCGCTTGTAGCTCTCCCACGCCGCCCCCGTGCGCCGTCTCCTCCGTAATGTGCCAACTGTTGAGTTTCCTTCCGCTTCCGACGGACGCCGACAGAGGCCTGGCAGAGAGTGGGACAGCGTCAGCCAGAGAGTCGCCAGCGCGAGCGAGATGGGCGCGTAGGCGAGTGGATGAGGGAGAGAGACGGAGGGACGGAGAGGAGCCTGCCTGATATGGCCTTTTAGCCATTATCTATCTCTCTCTCTGTCGCGCCCACCCACGCCGCCTATGGCGCTCTCTCGTTCTCAGCGCCCAGCCGGCAGGCCTGCCTGCCTGCTTACAGGTGTTTATCGTGTGGCCCTCTTGTGTGCGCTACTCGGCTCCTAAACCCGAAGAGCTGGCTGGCGGCCTTCTCTCGACTGTCGGCTGTCGACTGTCGACTGTCGGCTGTCGGCTGTCGGCTTTCGGGTCCGTGGGTCGGTGGGTCGCGTCGCCTCTCGCCGGCGCGTGTGCTTGTGTGTGGGATTGCGCCGTTATATTCCTGGCGTCGCTGCGCTTTGGCCTCAGTTTCATTTGAACAGTGGACAAGGCGCGTTGTGCCGCCAGCAGCGAACAAAAAGAAACACTGAGACTCAACTCCAAAACTCAACTCAAACCAGAACCGAAAAACTCAACAAAAACCGACACGGAACCGAACTCTCTCTCGCTTCACCATCGCACACCCACACACGCACGAGTGCATCCTCGATTGCGCATATAACTTCATTCCCGACTATCCTCCTTGACAGACATCGAAACGCTCTGAACAACTCAACATCAAAATTTCCAAAACCTCAAAACAAAAGTCTTTCAAACTAATTTCAAACATTTTCAATCAATCTTTTTTTTTTTTGTTTCTGTGAGTGTTTGTGCTTCAAAAATCTTTCAAAAATCCAAACTTAACTTCTCAATTGGCAAACAAAAATTCTAATTAAAATTTAAAACTCCACGAACCATAGGAAAACACACACAAAGAAAAAAAACCTATTTTCAAAAATAACTACAAAATATTGAAATATCTGTAAGCTTAAGTTTGGTTTTTCTTGGCTTTACGTTTATGCTTCTGTTGTTTTCGTTTTGTGTTTCCTGTGAAAACTAATTCGATTCTTTCACGTACAAACATGTGCACAAAATTTTCGCTGGATTCGAACGACTAGAAAGTGCGTTGCGTCCGTTAGAAATTTCGGATTCAAAAACAGGTAAATATTTGAATCTTTACTTTTGGAATATTTCCCACAAACTTCAACTGTAAATTCTTGACTAAATTCGTGAGAGTGTCGTGTGAATGGTGTGTGTGCTTTTTGGGGGTTTGAAAACAAAGCTGAAAAATGGTATTCAATATTTTAGATAATGAAGAAAGGTGCAAGGACAAATTTTTCCAAATTTTCACAAATTTTTAAAGAAAAACTTTCAAAGTTTCAGAATTTTAATATGGAAAAATATAATAAAACATGCTAAGAACCATAAAAAAACTTTGAAAATTTTAAAAATTTATTTTTTTAAGTCGAGGATTGGAATAACACAAACATTTTCTTAAATTGCAAACAAAAAGTGGTTATAAATTTTAAACCCATCAAAATTGAGAATATTTAAATGACTCTTTTGCAAAATCTTTCAATAATTTCCAAATGAGAAACTAAACAATATCCGTAAGTATATCCGCATGCATATTGCACTTAAATGTTATTGAATATTTTTCTGGAGTCTCCCTGTTTTTACATATTACTGGATTGTTTTTCCTTTTGCACTTGAAAGATGTTCATTTGCATTAAAATTTTTAATTTTTCTGTGAAGGGAAATTTTTGGCTAAAGAGCTAAAAAGAAGAACCGCTTGTTAAACTCCGCCATTTCCGTTGCCATTTCCACCGATTTCCGACTCCGGCCTCGGATGATAGAATGGTGGAAAAAACTGCATGCAACAAGAGCCACTCTTTTTGTGGTTAAGGATCTCCTCTGCTCTCCTCTGGCGGCATGTGGTGGACGGCTTCGTTAACCAAACTTGTTGCCACATTCACGCACACACACATATGAGGGGGCAGGCAGCATCCTCCGCCGTTCTGGTCCGTTCAGTACGTGTCCTTTTGCTAATCGCTGCGTTTAAGGAACTGCACGATGGTGTCCCCCACTAGCTGCAGCGCTAGTTTTGGCGCGTGACCAGCGGACCTTTCCGCAAACGGAGGTCAAAAAAAATTCTTTGATTTTTCTCCGAAGCAGCAACAGGAAAACGCAATAGCGGTGTCGTATACGTGATATTCCTGTTTCTGTTTCAAGGCCATCCTTGAAGCAGATGCAAATGCAAAGGCCCAAAAATAAAAAATAAAAAATGGTTGCAATTTGAAACGGAAATCTATGCAAATAATATTTATTCCCTGTCGTTGGCTAATTTAATTGCAATTTTATTTTAATTGGGCTTCAATTTAATTGCCTGAAAATGCCGGCCATTACGGCAGGGGAATTTTTGTTTGTTTTTGTCAGTTTGTCACTTAATTAAAATTAATTTTGGAAACCGATTTTATTGAGATGGAATTTCAATTGAAATATTTTCTGAGGACTTAATGAATTCGTCCTGCTTATTGGCAAAAAAGCGTGGGCTTTAAAGGGTTTTTGTACGGGAAATGTAAGTTGAAAGATTTTTTGGAAGAAGTTCTACGTTTTTAATAGATTTAAAAATCCATTTTCCAACTTTAGAAGTCTCTAGAGTTCTCGTTCGTTTGAGGTCTCTTTCGTTGGAGTTTTCATTCGTTAGAGTTAGGTTTCGTTAGAGGAGTCTCTAATAAGGCTACTCTCTCATTGGAATACTCTCTCTATCTCTCTATCTCTCTCGTTAGAGCTCTATCTCTCTCTCGTTAGAGCTATATCTCTCTCGTTAGAGTACTCTCTCGTCAGAGGTCTCTCTCGGTACAGTACACACTCGTTCGAGCTATATCTCTCTATCTCTATCTGGTCAGAGCTCTATCTCTCTCTCTATCTCTCTCCTTTTTCAGAGCTCTATCTCTCTCTTTAGAGGTCTATCTCTCTCGTTAGAGTACTTTCTCTCGTTAAATCTCTCTCGTTGCACTCCCCTTCCTCAGGACTTGCACAGAGTTCTATATCTGCTTATAGACGTAGGACTTATCATTCGATAAGTGTCCTCCTTTCACTACCTTGATTGATGGTTAGAGACGGCAAACGGAGTCGTCGCGTCGGTTACAGAGGAATTGTATCTAGAGAGCCATCGTATCCATCGCTGATGATGATATCAATCGCCTGCGCTATCGCGCATCAACATTGTTTTCCACTTAAAATGCCATCAGGTATTTTGGTATTCGGGCTGGAACTCTGATACATTTGCCATCATACGCATAATATTTATTTAGCCAAAGGCCCCTGCAAAGCCCCCTCTTATCAATGCGGTGGGCCCTCTCTTCTCTCTCTCCCCCCCCAAAAAGGGGCACCAATGAGCCAGATGATTGATTGCCCGGAATGTCGCTTTGCGGACTGCCAAGTAAATTACAGATTCGAATGCACATTCATGTCGCACATTTTACCCCCCCCCCCCCCTCCCCCCTCAAAAAAAAAATCCAAACAAAATATCTATTAATTAACAGCTCGAATCCTACGAAAAAACAATCTGCAATCAAAATGTCCGTGCGAATCCGAAACCCAAGCCTCTGGAGTTATTTTTCAGTGTTTTTTCTGCCATTTTTTTGGTGTAGAACCCATGGAAAGAGAGGAAGAATTTTGGTATATTTCTGGTCCAAGGAAAAACTTGTTATGCCCAAAGATATTCAAAGCCGTCGAAGCACTACAATATGATATGATATGAAGGACTTTAGTCTGGAGTTTAAAGCCTATAATTATCTTCTATTCGGAGCTCTATTTCAGAGCATTATTTAAATGCATTTCCACCTAAATCCTCCAGGCATTTATCATGACTAATTGAGTGTAACCCGAAGATATCTACGGATCTCCCGCGGTAACAAATCCTTCCATTCTCAGATTTTTGGTTTTTTATTGGATTTTTGATGCACAGCAACAAAAAAAACACACAGAAAAAACAAAAAATCACCGTAAAGAAAATGAAAATTGAATATTTCATGTGGGAGTCAAACAAAAAGAAAAGCCAGAAGCGGAGAAAACCGAAAAAAAGGCAAAACATTGAAATTTCCGAAACAAAGAAATTTGTTTTCCCCGTGTTTTTCCGAGGCTCGGCTGCTCGGCCGCAAAAATGTTGTAGAAAAAAAGGAAAACCAACAACAAACCCACCCGAAAGCAGTATAGAAATTGAATACACAAAAATATTTTTAATTGAAAATGATTCAATTAAAAAATTTAATAAATTGCCAAACAAGGCGAAAACCCATTTATTCTGTTAATTGTTTGTCATACGAAAAAGGGCTGACATTTATTTGACATCCAATGGAGATTTTTCATGATTTTCTAGCAAGAAAATCGGAGACCCATCAATGATCATCCACTCTGCTGGAGAGTTGTATCTGTATCTCTGTACGTCCACCTGCAAATATG